TACATAACAAGCTTGCAGAAAAAAAAATCACCAAGCATACTAGTAAGACAATCCAGTACATGACTTATCTTGTTATCTTGACTCTAGAGACAAGAAGCCGATTATACCCACAACCTTGGAAGACCTACACATTTACAAGGAAAACACACGCAAAATGGCACAAAATAAGCATAAAAAAACATTTGACTCTAACAGGCTATTTATAAAAGCTATCCAGTGTGTAATAAGATATGGAATAGGGTCAACCGTGTCAATGAGTAGGGACACCAAGGAAAACACAAGGGGCAGTCAGGAAAGAAGGCTATAGGCCATGGTACACAGGAGGCAGAGGCAGGCAGAGCTCTGTGCCTGGCCACCAGAGCTACACAGTAAGTAAGATCAATAAGGAGAGGGAAGGAGAGGAGGAGAGGAGATGGGGGAAAGAAACTGGAACTTCAGTGCCCTAGTACAAAATAGTTCATTCCTTTTTTGTGTGTGTGCTTTTAACCCACATCTTTATACTTAAGGTTTTTTAGGTTTGGGGTAGGAAACATATATACCCATATTACCCTTAATATGAAAATCTCTTATTTTTTTTAGCTCACATTATAGCTATTTATATTTAATGTAGTAGCTTATATGCAGATTTAAATGCAGATTTTTTCTCGTTTTCTGTTTGTACTGTAGGTTCCTCATTCCCTCCCCTTCCTTTCAGTCTACAACAGAGTTGCTTATTATCTCCTATATAGACATTTTCTTATTAGACCTACTTTAAGAAATTTATACAGCTTACATTTATATTTATAACATATATTCAACACTGTCTTATCAAATAATACAATACAACTGTACTTACAGGAAAGAATGTTACAGCAATATATTTTCAATTTTCCCCTCAAATTTTTTATTCTATTATCATCACAATTTCACATTTATTATAAATCTAAAATATAGTGCTAATATTTTTCTTTGCTATTTATCTTGTAAAGTGACTTACAATCACAAGGGAGATTTGTATTTACCTTTGCCCAACTGTTTCTGCAGTAACTCTATCCTCCCATTTGAAATCACACTCTTCTTCCTGAAATATATGCCATCATCTTGGTTTTCAGTGTGGTTTGTAACAGCAAGGATCCAATCAGCTCATGTTCACCTAAAACTATACTTATACTTTAAGTGTGAGATGTCATTACTGTCTTCTGGTTACATCATTTCAGATAAGAGGTCTCATTCCTTTCTTCTCTCCTTTCAGCTAATGTGTCTTTTTGTCTTTGCTTCCTCTGCTTTCCTACATGTTTTCTCTTTATGTCTGTGTCTCAGACTTTTAAGTATCTGTACAGAAGTTGAATTTCTTGGTGCTGTCTGAGCTTTTTGTATTATATTTTAAAGTATGTTTGCAAAATGTTCTGCTATGACTCTCAAATATGCAACACTATGGGTGGATCTCAAGTATATAAGGCTTAATTGTTAAAATGGACTCCAGAGGCTGTGTGATGTATCATCCTGTTTACACATGTGTGGGAAACAATAACCGGGGTCATTCAGAGGTTCATCAGTTTGACCAAAGAAATTTTCTTAAACAACAGGAGTCTCTCCCACCTTTTCTTTCCTCAGTAGCTTCCTCAGAGCACAACCCAGATCTAGGACCCACCAGAGTCCAGGCCCTTCGAAGAACTCCTTCTGAGTTTCTTAGCAAATGCCTGATATCTCTTGCTGGGACTCTCCAAACACTCAACTTGGCAATTCAAGTTGTGAAAATCCTTCTGATTTCTCAGCTCTGTTATGCACACTAAGTGTTGAAACCCTGTTGATAGGCATCCAGGTGCTGGGCCTTTCTGAGCTCTTTGGATCCCAGTTTTCACCAGGATGCCCTCAGGATTTCAAGGCAGATCAGAATTCCCCAGTGGCTGTCTGAATTTCCAATTAACCAGAGGGCTGTGCGATGTCGCGTTTTGCCCTGACAGGGGTGCTTAGATTTTGCCAAATCCTTCACATTCCCAGATTGGAATCCCAAATAAATAGACTTTATTATAATCAATAATGATAAAGATGACTTTTTCTCAGATAGGAAGTCATAAAATGTTAATAATTCTGAGTTAAATCCACTAAATGTGATCACAATAAAAACAAACATGTTTTATCCCTCTTGGTATGAGGCAGATTGATCTTTAGGTTCATTTAAAAAACATATAAAAAATTCAAAAACCTCTTAAATTTAGAAAAACAAATGCCAGCTAATAAATCCTACTGTTAACCTTTGATAGCTAAACAGTGCAGTATTGCAAACCAATGGGGTAGGGGAACAACAGACACACAGGTACTAAAAGCAAATGGACAGCTCATGCGTGATGAAGGCAGCACCTCAGTTCCCTGGGGGAAGAAGATAGCTTTTCGATAAATCATGTTGGTACAACAGGACAACAAGCTGCAAATGGATGCAAAGCTAAATGGATCTCAAAGGCAAAACTGGATCTATATTTTACAGCATAGCCACTCTAGATGGATCAAATATTTATATGTTAAAAAGCATACAAGGCAAAGGCACAGGTAAACTGCTGCATCTGATAGGTGTGAGTAGAGCTTTAACTACAGTTCAAATACAAATGTGATTTAATTTAAAAGAAAAAAATTACACTGTGTTAAAATTTTTCTATAGACCACATGTATAAAAATTAACAGGAAATGATAGTCTAGAAGAAGTATCTACTGTAGACCTCACAAATAAAGGCCAAATCTCTCTACAGAAAAAGACATTTTCCAAAGAAGGTAAGATCAGCACTCAACAGAAAGTGGGGTGGCGCTAAAGAGGCAGTTCATAGAATGACACACAGGTGGTTCTCAGAGGTATAAAGTGTTCTGCTTCACTAGTGATAGAACCTGCAGATGTTTGACCCAAGGACCCTGGCCCTCTTCTATTGGATGGAGCTTCACTACTTGACTGCAAGTACTTTTCATGAGGCAATGAAGAAATAAATGTGCTTAACTGTTAGCTAAGATAGATTCAAAACATTGCAACCTCAATTGGAGAGAATGAAACACAAATAATTTGTCTATTTCCTTGAGCCCTGCCTTTTTACATCTAGTGATATAAAATACAAGACAACATAAACACAAACATGATATGTAAATCAAAGGATTAAAAATAATCTTCCTGTCCATTCATATGGAATTGGTTAAAGAAACTATAACATATTCATTACAATTATTATTCAACCATAAGAATGAAGATGATCTCTTTCAAAAAATGAGTTGATTCTAGCATGTACTATTAAATGATAGGCAGTACAATGCAAAAGATTACATAAATTATGTTATGTTTGTTTATCTATTTAATTCTTCAAAAGAAACACAGAAGGATAAGCTGGAAGTTAACGAAAATGGTTAAGCGCTTCAGTGAGCAAATAACTAAGAAATGGAGGGAAAGATGGGGATGAAGGAGAGAGACCCCTCTATCTGTCTCTCTTCACATTAACTTTCCAATCATCCTGATGGTTTCAATCCATCTGGTAAAGTTCAACCAACATAGCTAAGGGGGTGAGCTGTTAGTGCTTGACATAAAATAACACTTGAATTAGAGGCTGAGGATGTGATTTGGTAGTAGAACACTTGCTTGGTACAAACAGGACCCTGTTTCTACCCTAAGCAATCCTGGGAACATAAACAAGACCCAAAACAGATTAATAAAGATAAAAAACTAATTCAAGACATGAATAGAAGTTCAGTAGAGAGAAAGATTCTGAAGAAAATATATGGAAGAGAAAACCTCAACAAATCAAACAAAATATTCAAAGGTGGTGTATACCTTTAATCCCATCACTTGAGAGCAGAGGCAGGTGGATCTCCAGGCATTTGAGGTCAGTCTACTCTTCATATAAGTTCCTGGCCAGCCAGACCTACATGCTGAGTGCAGTCTGTTCTCAGGGCAGATGGTCCTGGGCTGTACAAGGAGGCTAGCTGAGCATGAGCCCGAGGAAGCCAGCACGCAGTGTTCCTTCACATTTTCTGTTTCAAGTTCCTGCCCTAACTTCTATCAGTGATAAACTGGGACCCAGAAGTGTAAGCCAGATAACTCTGTTCCTCCCTAAGTCACTTTTGGTCAGTGTTTATCACAGCAGTAGAGATGAAAACAGAACAGTGTGTTTCTCTGTTAATTCCCACATTATTTTCTGAAACTGGGCCCCTTCTGGCATTAGTCAGTGCAACGCTAGGATTATAGGTGTCTGTCACCATGACCAGCATCCTATACCCCAGCAATTAATGACTGAGTCATCTTCCAGCTCCCTGGGCTATCTTTTCTACTTTCTATGATTTTTTTTGTAGTTTTATTTTCTAAATATATTTCTCTGTATTAAT